TGCTCCAGAAAAAATAGTCCCAGCCTATTCAGGATTTGAGGTAGCACTGGCAGGGTAATTCACTGCAAAATAACAGCCAGCTTTTTGACTCTAACAAAAACAAGATTGCGTATAGTTAGAATAATATCAAGTCTGACCTCCTCTCATGGTGGTTGACACGGAGAGTTTAAAAAATGACGTAAAGGAGGAACACAAGATTAATGTCCAATTTAAAATACCTTTGTTACTCAGATAGGCTTAAAGAACAATGTCCATATATTTCTCAAAAACTGTAGACTCAAGATCAATTTGATCACTCCTTGGTTAAGATATTTTCAAAATTAACCTGTTCAGAGATGTTATTATACACCTGTGGAGCAGGTACGGCTTGAACTTGGCACCACCGGGGCCTTAAGCTTTACCTAATTTTTTTTTTAAATTTCTTTTTAATCAACCTCTTCAGAAGGGCTAATACACAACAATGAAACAGGTGAGACTTAAACCCAGGCCTTCTCGTTCAGAGATAAGGGCAACTGCTGCCCCACAAAGACCCCAAGCTTTGCTTAAGACACTTTCTAAATCAGCCTGGTCAGAAGTATTATAATACATCTTTGTCGAAAGTGGGACTCGAACCCAGGGTCCCTGGCTAATATGTAGGGTCACTACCACTGTGCCATAAAAATCTCTATTTAAACACAATTCATGTTTTGAGTTCAGTGATCCTTTCATCAGGACTTGCCATTTTTCCCCCAATTTCCAAAATCAGTAGTTTTACTTATCGCTTTAATAAGTAGCTTTGCAAATGTCCCCAGTTCTCTGACCTCAGTTTAATATAATTTGCACCCTTTACTTCCCCCTTCCTGTAGCAGTGCCTGCATGATATGGAAGCAACACGCGTTCTAAGCTGTAAACAATTTTTTAACTTCTTGGTTTATCCTAAGAAAAACTACAAGATATTTTCTTATCAAGCTGTTCAAAAGTGCTTTTAACACTGGATTTGAACCTGGCCTCCAGGCACAGAGGTGGGTTCAGTCCCACTGCAGCACAAGGGTCCAAAAGCTTTGCTTAAAAAGAGGCAACAAGTTTGTGTTCACGTCAGTTTCAGATTAAACTGGATAGGTTTGCAAAGACCAAAAATCTTGATTGCTTTATTTGTAAAGGCAGATTGGGCTGGATATTGAGAGTTATTTCCCAGGGAGTGGTGGACCTGTGGAACAGATTGCCAGATCAAATGGTGGGCACTAATTTCATGAATTGCTTCAACAGTAAGCTAGACTCTTGGCCTTGTCAGGTGGACGTTACTTCATATGAGAGCTGGGTGCCGTGAGATAAATGAAGGTCAATTTCAACATCTGGACAAGTTCCGATTAGAAGGATTTTTATCTTGATTTTCACCTCCCTGACAGATTCCTGAGCAGGGTGCATATGTACTGTGACACACAGTGCACCAGAACTATCAGGGCCAGGCTGGTTGGAGATTTCCTGCACGTCATTTTTATGTCCTCACTGTCAGGACAGAAAAGAAAATAATTCAAATATCTACAGCAAACTGTGGGCACAAACATAATAAAATATCACATCAGAACAAATAATGCTTATTTTTGAAATATTCAAGTGATTTGCTCAAATTTCTATGATGCTTCATTCATTAAAGAAGTTATTTGTTCGCCTCCCAGCATCTTTATATTATTCTCAAATAAGCCAATAAACTGTATTAGCTAATGAGTCATTCTTACACTGAGTTCAATAGATTTGATTTCAAGTTATTAAGCAGCTAGAAGCTTATGAACAGATTGCTCGAGTCACCCAGTGTTGTTAATTCCTGATGCTGGTTATAAGAAAGGTAGTCACGTAACCAATGCACGATCTTTAAATGTACTTAAGTATTACACTATTACGAGAACTGGACCAACTGTTGTTTTGCAAATATATACTAAAATCAATACACAGATCATAAATCAAAAAAGACTAAATTATTGACTCAATCACGGTGTTTTCTAGTGCACTAATTACAAATCATTTGGGATTCCTGTCATTTTTAAATAAGAAGGTTAAAGCAAAACTGATACAAAAGTTAAGAAAACGGTCACCTTTGGTGCAAACATTTGCTATGCATACGTTCACAAACTAAGGCAGGAGATCTACTTTTCATAGAATTTATAGCATTAGGCAGCCTTCAGTCCCATTCTGCGTGCTCCACCTTTTTTTAAAGTGTTACCTAATTAGTTCCATTCACTTGTACTTTACCCTCACTTGTTTTATTTTCCTTTTCTTATGTTTTTAAGTTAACAATGAATCTGCTTCAGCCACACTGTCAGACAGATTCCAGATCTCAAGACACTGCATATTAAAATTCCCACCTCCCCCTCTAATGCTTTTGCCAATTATCTTAAATCTGTGTGTGTGGTCACTGACTCTCCTAGCAATGAAATTGAATAATCAAATAATGAGAAACTAAAATATTATTAATTTTGAACACTTCACATGAAATCTCTCCAAATGCTCCAAGAACAATTGCAATTTCCCTGGTCTTTCCTCTCAACTAACATCTTGATCCCTTGTCACCATAATAGCTTATTCAAGACCTTGACAAGCCTCCGAAAATATGGTACTCAGAACCAGACAATATTTCAGTTGAGGTCTGATCAGTGATTTATAAAAATATTTAGTGTAGCTTTCTTGTTTTTGCTTCACTATGCCACTGTGTATAAAATACAGGTCCTTGTTTGTTGAAAGCTTTTCAATTTGTTCTGCCACTTCCAAATATTTGCGTATGAGTAAGTCTTTTTGATTCTAAATCCATTCTTTGAACAATACCAGTCAGTTGATATTGTCTTTCCACATTCTCTCTCAAAAATACATCACTTCCTCTGCTTGGAGTCACTGTGTTCCTATTTTACCAGTCTACATCCCTTTGAGGTGTACAATTATTCTTCTTGCCATTTACCACATTTGAGGTTCATTTCGTGAGAACATGTAGAAATTATACCTTTTTGTCTTACAGATAATTAATATACATCAAAGTAGCAGCCCAAACACAGATTCCTGGGGATTCCATTATACACATCCATTCAGACCATAAGAAACAACTACTCATCAGCACTCTGTTAATCAAACAGATTTGGAGAAATTCATATTTTTTCAATGCAAACGTATTGTTGTATTCATGTATTCCACGTACTGTTAAGTACTGCAGGACCATTAATAAGCCAGACAGTGATTCAAATCCAGCCCAGGAGGGTGGGATGGGTTTCTTCTATCTATATGCAATTAGTTTGGCCAAGTTCAAACCAATTTCTCATGATCACTTCAGCAGAAACTACACTTTGTTTAGTTCTACTTAGCAATCTCATAGAGAAAGGACACAAAATAGCTAGAATGGGAAGTAAAATACGGTACAGTACACTCACACCAGCACAAAATTCATTGCCAGTCAATCACTTATGCACATTAGCCTGCAACAATATTACGGTTCAATTTAGTAAAACGAAGAGGACAATTAAACTCTTTCTGATTAAATGTTTTTGCACAATGTACAAATTAATTGGCTATGTTTGGCACAAAATACAGCATCTTAAATTGATATAAGTCAGAAGTCACACAACACCAGGTAATAGTCCAACTAGTTTATTTGAAATCACAAGCTCTCGGAGTGCTGTTCCTTCATTAGGTGAAGATGTAAGGTGACTTCACCTGACGAAGGAGAAGTGCTCCAAAAGCTTGCGATTTCAAATAAACCTGTTGGACTATAACCTGGTGTTGTGTGACTTCTGACTTTGCCCACCCCAATCTAACACCAGCGTCATGGCTTAAACAGTTTTGATAGTAATAAGATGTCAGAATTTATTGTAAGAGCAAGTTACTTATCTGATTTATCAAAATTTATCAACAGATGACAATTTGAACCAATCTGTCCCTTACTAATTGCCTTTTCAAATGCTTTGTGCCAGAAGTATTAAACAAGGCCTGAAGAAACAAGAACTGTCCTACCTTCCCCCACCTCCCAAATGTAGTAACAAAGTGTAAGCACACAATTATAATGCTAAATAATATTAGTTTTCTATAATGTGGTCACAAAAGTAATTTAAATTACAAAATGGTCACTAAATGATCAATGATCAGAACCTTTAAAACAAAATAAAGCAACCTCTACACAATCTATTCAAAAATTCATAGGCAACATATTGGAATTAAATCTTATTACAATCACATAAAAAGCTATTATTCCCCATTGTGGGCTCTCAATTACAAATCTTGAATATAGATGTTTCCATTACAACTTTCTTTCTCATTTTAATAATCTGAAAATTAACTTAGTTGCAAATCAAATTGCAAGCCCACAACAGAAGGCAAGTAAATGAAAAGTGCACCTGAACACTCACAAACCAAACTTGGATATGCAGTGCCAGCACTGGCAATTTTACTTCCCAACTTTCGATATTGCACTATTGTGTCAAGGATTTCATGACACAAGCATAAAAAGAGAGAGAGAGAAAAATGGCCTTTTCCTATGTAGCTCAGTTATTTTCTTACAGTGGAAAAGTGCAATTAATAAAGGTAAAGTCGCCACGGACATAGGGCTGCTCTCGCGTTAGAGAGACAACTAGTGATGCTTTAAACGGAGGGTGAGCATGCCTCAGCTAAGAGAAGCTGAGAAGGAGAGTCCTTCATGGTAACCTCAGCCAGTACGGAAACTGAACCCATGCTTTTGGCGTCACTCTGCATCTCAAATCAGCCATCTAGCCAACTGAACTAACTGACCCCCAATAAGACTGCATCAAATATTTGGAGGGGAAGGACAAAATTCATCTTTCTCCTGTCTTGCCATCCACAAAGACTTCAGATAATTGCAGACATACTATGGTTGTCATTTTTGTAAAATAGGGAGGAAAAAGAAAATTGACGAAAACAAATTGTTGACTTGATAAATTTTTGAAAGATACCTTTGACTGTGGATGAGGCAAATCAAGTGTACTCACAAAACAGATTACAAATAAACAGAAAAACTATGTACAACTTACTTTTCTATCAAGTCCAGTGTAACTCCAGGCACCAGTTTGGCACTCCTTTGCATACAGAACCTGTAAAAATAAAACAGCAAATATGTGTGAGGAGATGGGTTTTAAAATCATAATTCCTTAATGAATGAAAGTCATTTTATTGCATCTGATCCTAAAATTACAATACTATAACACTTCATTTTTATAATCCTTGCTCATTTTGTGGGAGCAGACCAGAAAAAAAGGAAGAATCTCACTATGATATACAAAGAACCAGACCTTGTAGAAAATAAAAATCACATGCATTAAAAGATTTTCATCAAAACAGATTAATCCCAGGGAATGTAGTTTGAAACAATTGGAAGATGACTTGAATTTAGCCTAAGAAGGGGTCACAGTAGTTTCACCATATCTGATCCAGTAAAGTAATACCCTCTGGAGGTTACACTCAATCCATATCACACTGCTTTTCAAACTTGGCAACTATGCGTTTAGAACCACCTTGTAATGACGTACATATTAGAAATCTGCTGCAGAATTAGTTTTGCTGAGATGAATGTTAAGATGTCAGAGAGGTCTGTCAATAGTGCACTTAATTTCTAAGCATGAAGTATAACTATCCACATTTTCAACACAAATGGAAGCAAATACATAAATAACTTTAAATATAAAATGTAGCATCATTGATGGATTGGTAACTCCCAAGGCCTTAGCTGCCAACTAAATCCTGATACGTGTTCCATCTAAGACATGTTGACCATGTGATTTAATTGAGGTATCTTATTTGCCTTTCATCAATTTTAAAATCATTCTCTATAATTCCTCAGATCAAGTGGTGAGCCAGCTGCAATCTCAATTTTGACAAAACAAAAGACTCAAATCTAGAAATGGCAGAAGTCACTCTTGCACATAACTATCACAATTTCATTTTATTTTTGCAGTTGAAGTTAGAGGTGGGTGGGATTGCCAGGCAGCTAGGATGTTGCAATTATTTGCCACAACTTTGAACATGCGTAATACATCAGTGTAACAATTTTATACATCGCATGCCAGTAGTTATAGTGGAATGCATCAGATGTTGGCACTTCATTATAGACCCCTCGATCAAGAAGGATGTTCTCATGAGGTACTCCAAACAGAAACTACTCTATTTTGACTAAAGCCAATAAAGAAACGCTGGGGGTACGGCCAAAGTCAAGAGTCAAAATACCCATGACTAACAACGTCTGCAAGAGGAAGATGTCACTAAGTTAAACAAATCAAGATTTCATCTAGAACCAGCAGCTGTTAGCCAGAGGCCAGCAGCCCTCTGTGCTCAGCAGAGCCACATACATGGCCTTGGCTGCTGCCTGCAACATTAAAAAGGGCACAGAATAAAGGTGGGTGACTTGTGGGCAGGCGTTTCCAGAAGCAAAATGCCTAACATAATCTCACTGAAAGTGGAATTGGGTTCAAGGGACTAGATAGCCGACACTTGTTCCTATATTCCAATTGGAAGAAGGCATTAAGGAAATAGTGTGCAAGTGGAAGATAGATTTTTGTGCAAATGCTGGGATCTTGGATTTAAAGCACTACTGCAATCTGATCTTGTTGGAATTGGCAATGGACCCAGTGCTATCAGATGCAACTTAAAAAGACAAATGTTATGATCGGATGCAGGACCACCACAAAGCCACACAGAATTCCCAAATAAAGACCACTGAGAACAAACAAAAATGCAGGTCTTAATAGTACATAAGTTTCCAATGCTCACTACCAACCAGTGCCATGAGGCTACAGACAGAGTTTTGGGGTGTATTACAATCGAAAACAAAACAAAAAGCACTCTACTATCATTGTTTTTAAGGCCCTGATTGACATCCATATAGAATTGTGTGTCCAGTTTTTGTTACCTCACAACTCTTGATAGAGAAATCTCATTTTGAAAACGTTAGCTTTATTCATTCAAGTGAACATGAATTTTTATCTACTTCAGAGAATCCCTACAGCACAGAAAGAGGCCATTCGGTCCATCGTCTCTGCACTGACCCTCCAAACAGCATCCCACCCAGACCCACAATCTCCACATTTACCACAGCTAATCCACCTAGCCTGCAGATCCCTGGACGCTACGGGGCAACTTAGTACGGCCAGTCCACCTAATGTGTACATCTTTGGACTGTGGGAGGAAACCAGAGCACCTGGAGGAAACTGACGCAGACAGTCACACAAGGCTGGAATCGAACGCGGCTTCCTGTTGCTGCGAGGCAGCAATGCTAACCTCTGAGCCACTGCGCCACTGCGCACCCTCTTGTTGAGTCTTGATTAAAACCAAACAACTTCCCTGGTGCTGAAAATTAACAAGGGTGCAGATGCATTCATTTCTATGTTAACTAATGAAAATTTAAAATTAAAATTGTATTTTACTTTTTGTTTTCTTATCTCTTTATGCCAGCTCTTTCATTTTGTTTTCTGTACATTACGTGCAATTAAATATTCGACCCTATACGTCCTGCTAAGACTGTGCCCCTCAGTTAATATGCTTCAAACTGTCTGGTTGAAGAGATGTGCTGATGTTTGTCCTGTTCACACTGACCTTGGATCATCTAGAGTGTTTTTCACATTGCTTTGATTGACTGATCAGTGTAAACATCTGCATGGCCATTTTGAGGGTAAAACTATACATAATAGCTGGTGAGTGCCATTCATTTGCTGATGACTACAAAATCTGAATGAATACTTTTCTAAGATCAGAGGCAGAAGCCAAGCCAAATATTGTGACAATATTTGCCGAGCTTTTCCAGCAACTTCTGATTTTATTCCTGATTTACAGCATCCGCAGTTCTTTCAGTTTTTATCGTGACAAGAACCTCCTTTAATATCTTAGAACCCGCGAGAGACCGTATCCTTTATCTACAATAAAAGCAATTCATGAAACAATGTCATGACATTAAACATCTGCATTTTTCCCAAATTTGCACTCAAATTTCTACAATTTATACTTAGAGCATCTTTTCCCATAAAACAATGGGGGGAAGAAGATTAGCACAACCTTGTCAAGTCCTCAGACATGAAGAAAACTCCCAAGATATCTCCAGTGTTAGATGTTATTCGTATTGATGCAAATAGAAAACATGGTTACAAAATTGAGATGGATTTTCAGTACATCAATTTGACTTACCTCAATATTAGTTGTTTTTCCCTTTAACTGAATATTGAACTTGAATTTTTTAAAAATTTATTTCCAATTTTTTATTGATTCTATAACCTTACCAAGCCACTAACAAACTGGTACTTAAATACACCTATTTTCCTAATCAGCTTCAATATTTTCCATCAAAACAAATTTTCAACATCTCTACGAGGAATTTGTTATAAAAATGACAGCACATAGATTTTAAAATGTCACAATCGCACCCAACAGTCCCATTATAGATTACTCATATCAGAAAATCTAAATTCTATGAAGTGACCTTTTAAGTTATTAGCAATAAACAAACATGAATGTATTCCAGGTAGTTTACTTACAGTAACTGGAATACATGCTCAACAGCCAATGATTAATGGTACAATATGATTGCAGTGATATTTGCCATTTTTAAGAAAATTTCTGAAACTAACTTCACAAATGATTCAAAGGAAATGAGCATTTCATTGAAACCAACACATCATCCTTGATTAAAAAGAAATAAAAAGATTACCCAAAATTATTTGTAGATACATATTAAAAATTGCTATTTTTTGTTGCACAAAATTGCAAATTTAAATCTCGTATACACGACATTTTCCTCACCTTCAAATTATGCACATAGTATGCACTTTCACTTAATAGGATGATAGTCTAAAAAAACTCTCTCCAATTATTTAAATAACCTACATAGTAAAATTCAGCTAATCAGGAGAACAGCAATTTTCGCTAATCACTAGACTGCTACCTAAATCTTTACAATATTTCCCCATTTATTCTGCCTTATCATGATGAAAGTGATATATAGAGAGAAAATGTAGAATATGACTTGATAAGTGCTGCTATCTGCATGTTACTTAAGAACGCTGCATATTCAAATTTTTTGACAACTATTCAACTTGAATTGTTCAACTTTAGCTGGAATTTCTGGTGAAACAAATTTGTAATCCTTCAGAAGATTCATTAAATTTAGTTAATGAGAAGCTTTGATATTACCTTTAAAAATGTAATTTTATCTACCTCAGGTAAAACTTCAGCTATCCAATCTAAATTTTGAGCTGATAGGAAAATATACTGGTTGAAAAAGATTTCATACTCGTGTAACCATTGTTCAGCTTTGCTACAGCAATTCAGAAACAATTAGAGGTAGTCACACAGATTGTAACCATGGGCACTCATACACACTTGGTCAAAAATGCAAGCACCATGTCACCCTGATTCAATGCCTTAGTACTTTCACACAAGATTGAGGTTGATGAATAACATGGTCTTGCAAACACACAACCTGTGACTGACTGAGGAAATGAAAGATTAGAAAGAGATGGAAGTGGATTATTACAGAAAATAACTAAACCTTTTGGCTACTGAAAGGAAAATTCATTCTTTGAAATTTCAAGTGGTCTCTGTAAAAATGGCTGTTAATTTCTCAATTGTCGTGAACAGAAAATATAATGTACCTATCCATGCTATTTAATTAAATCCAACTTGCATGTAATTTTCAACATCACACTTAAACATTTTTATAACAGTTTTAAAAAGATTGGGAAGTATATTGACACTGGAATAAAAATGCACATGAATAAAATCAAAAGATGCAGTACAGAGCTAATTTGTTAAATATGTAAAACATTGCTAAACATTCATGACAGCAATAGCTCATCTGTCTCTGGAACAAAATAAAATTATAATGATCATGTTCTAACATCGGAGATTCAAAGCATTTAATTCTCTACCTTAACACTTCCACATATTCTAATATATTGCTGAGTGAGATGGACTAATGAAGTATTTACCTCTTCATATAAAAGGAAGGGTTAAGCTGAAGCAGGCTTGTACAACTTGTCTGGAAGCTTTGATTACCTCTTTGAGAGGCCCCAAGTGCTACTCCTTCCTTCCCACTGCTCCTTCAAAGACT